TTTCATTTGTTTAAAGAAGTTAAACTCACTTTTTGGGCGCACGCTTCGGATCTACCTTAAAGGATATGGAATCCGAATTCCGATCCAGGGCCCGTTGTGTTGTGTCTATGTTTACAGTTTCTGTTTTGTTTCCGAGCTCGCTTTCAACCTTAAAGCGCACTACTTCCAGACGCGACAACTTCTCCCATGCATTCTGGATGCGATCTGCCAGCAACCGCGCATTGTTCTCCAGCACATACAGTTCATTTTTTAACTCTATGCCCGCCCGATCGTAGGTCGACTCCGATTTAACGCGATCATCACGCACAAAAAGCATCTCTCTTATAACCGATAAGGGACCTGCCTGCCACTCCAGCTCATTCTCTGCCGCCTTCCTCTCCGCCTCCAGCGCATGGATTTCCCGCAACAAGCGGTCGAATGTCTTGGAAATAATATTTCGCCAGGTTTTCACTTCGATAATTCTGGCACTCAAAATATGTTAGTTACAGGCAAAGCCAAAGGACTCTGACAATAACCTACCGAGCATCCAGCGCGTTGTTCGACTCATAGTTGGCCCAGTCGCACTCGATGTGAGACTGATCCCTGAGCAGCCGGGATGAACTACGCAAGGCCAAGGCATCAGCACGACGTGCATTTGCCACATTTCGCAGACGATCCGTTTTGGAATTCCAATCGGACATTGAAATGTGCTGGATCGGCTTCTGCATGGTTGTTATCAAATGAAAAGACATTTTAATAAATGTATGTATATAGTCCTTGGTAGCAACAATGTATGTGTATGTGTATATAGTATAGTATAGTATATATATTCTATATTTATATATTGTGTTTCTTTGAAGTGTTGTGTTTGAATGGAATGTTCTTAATGAAAGGGTAAAGTGGCTTCATGTGCGCTGGCCTACTAGATATTTAATTTTTTTCCTATTGGGAAGATTGTAAAGTGAAATCATTTTTTCTGACTGGCTCCATCAAATGTTTGAATAAGATACGCATGATCATCCAAAAGGTTTTTAAATGCAAAATTAAGCAAAAAAAAAAAACAAACAAAAAAAACGTCTTTTTGAAAACTATAAATATGTATAGCCCTAACTATCGATGTATTTTATTGCGCCATCATTAAACATATGTTTGTTATCGATATATGCTTGTCACATCTGCGCGATATTTATTCAAGTAATTGCCGTCACCAGCAACTGCTGCTGTTTACAGTTTTTTAGGCTAAAAATCGCTTAAAAAGGACATTTACAGCTATTCAAGAGTGTGCGTAGGCGACGCTTTGTGTATTTAAGGTCAGCACTAATTAAAAAACGAACTGCACGGTGTGAGCAACGGGCACACGGGTGTTACACTCCACGCTGCAGTTAAGGTGAAGGACAACAAAGGAGGCAAGGACAGGACGCCACGCAATGGCCACGTGCAATCGCAAACTGAATGATAACTGTGACAATACAGCAACAACAACATGCCTCACCAAATGCCCTCCACCTGCTGTAAGCCTCAATGTGTTACCCGACGAGATACTCGAGTTTATATTCACCTATTTGCCGCCCTATGGCGATCTGGAGCACTGCAGTCTTGTCTGCAAGCGCTGGCAACTGATTGTGAAGAGTAAGTGCGATCCAGAGAATAATGCCATAATTATCCGGATAATTTATACTCCAGATCTTGTGCGCCGCTCACAACTAAATCTGGAAAAGGGCCTGGCCGACTTTCGGCTGCGCTGGGAAGTGTTCTCACAACAGACGGCAGCCTCTTTGGAAGCAAATTTCCCGAGCATACCAACGGGTATGCCCATGCCTATTATAGCAGGACGTTTTGCACACTCGGCAGTGCGGCTGGGTAACTCAATGTATGTCTTTGGTGGCGGCTCCTCGTCGGACACTACATTTAATGATCTGTGGCGCTTCGATTTAACGCATATGCGCTGGTCGCGTCCACTTGCGACGGGTACATACCCCTCACCCAAGGGCAGCGCTTCCATGGTGGCCTGGCGGGATAAATTGGTGCTGTTTGGCGGCTGGCGTTATCCCTCGTTACATCCACCGTATCAGCCGTGGTGCCTGTTCGATGAGCTGCATTACTACGATCTGCCCAAAGACCGTTGGCTGGCGCGAAACTCACTTCCATGCCCACCGCCCATGGCAGGGCACTCGGCCAGTGTGCATGGGAATAGCATGATTGTGTTTGGCGGCTATCAGATAAAGGATGACGTCAATGTCAACTCTAATGATACATGGGTGCTCGATCTGGATGAGCAGCGATGGTGGCAGCCAATCTTTGTAGGCAACACGCGGCCTGCGCCGCGTTACGGTCAAATTCAAGTGGAACTCGATAAGCAGCATCTACTCATTGTTGGCGGCTGTGGCGGCGCCAATCGGGTTTACACAGATGCCTGGCTGCTGGACATGACTCGTGATGCCTGGTGCTGGAAGCAGCTGAACGTACGCAACAAACACTTTGGCGCCGTCCACATGTGGTGCAATCCTGGCTGCAGGGTTAATAACTATTTAGTTGTGGTGGGCCCTTCGCCCAAAATGCCCCTTGACTTTCAAATCATGAAACAGAGCCGTGTGCCAGCTGTGGGCGGCAACGCGTTACGTTTTGCTGGGCTAGGCCAGGTGCCGGCACCGCCACCGCCGTTCTACCAACAACAACAGCAGCAGCCCGGCCAGCGAGTACCACTGCCAGAGCGTAGACCAGGCGCCATGCTGCCTGAACAACATCAGCGTGGCAACAATGGACGCTTTGGTGCTGCTGCCGCCTTGCCACCACAGGAGCAGTATTTGGCCAACAGGCGGGCCATACTGGACCAAAACATGCAACAGGCGCAGCAATTTATGCATAACAACAATGTCAACAATAACAACAACAACTACCAGCCGCGCTCTGGACGTCTTAGCGATTTGCATTCACCGCCTGCAGCCGCGCCTCCCGCAGCGCCAGGTGCAGCTCCTGCTGCATCTGATGGCGATGCGGATGCTGCACAGAGATTGCAACGCAATCTGGCGCTGCGCTGTCGTGACAACGAACCGTTGCTGCCCAAGCGATTTGACGAGCACTACGAAGTGAGCAAGCCATATTAAATAAATGATTTTTTGCCATTAACACAAGAATTTACCTGTTCTAGGATCCCTTTCGTATGGCCGCATTCAATGTGCCCGGACGTTCACGGAGTGCATCGCGCGATCATAGCGAACGTATACGTCGCATGGAGGAGAAAATGAATGCTATACGCAACTCGCGACGCAGTGCACCCGCCCATGTGGAGCCACAAACATTGCGTGCGCCCTCTCCGAAGCGTGTCCGATGTAATGTCCAGTCGCTGTTCGTTTGCGACATCTCTAGCTTGCTGCAGCGTGATGCGAACAGTGAGCCTGGCCTGGATTGGGTGGAGTACAAGAATTTTGGTGTTTTGAGCGGCGCACCCGATCGCCTTATACTGTCCAGCCTGATAGCGGGCAACGGGGAGCTGATACTATTTGGAGGCGTGCATAAGGAGACGCTAACGGACATCACGCACCATGTGTCCAATTCCATACACTTTCTGAGTGTACCACGTGATATTATCTAAGCGCAGGCACAAGCCATACCACACACAAATGCATATTTAGCTAAAAATATCTCTTATAAGCCTAAGCTAATGCTACCCTTTAAATCTGCGTAACTGCATCCTTCAAATCCTTGAAATTAGTTGCTGCGTTTAGACTTTAAATTTGAGTTTACATGTAATATATTATAATTTACTCGCATGATTAAATGGGGTGAACCTTATATGGAGCTTTGTGCAGGCAATCGACTTCACTTCACATAATTGAACAGGACCGTGAAATATAGTATATGGAAATAGGATATACAAAATAGAATAAATATGATTTTACCCTTCAATTATTTTGTTTCGTTTTGTTAACCAACAACTAAGCTATTTGTGTATATTGTAATTTGTATATTCTTCTACGCATTTTCGTGTACACTCTTCATTTCCAATACGAAATATTATATTTACATATATTCTATGTCATGGTGCCAATTTGTGCGAAACGAGGCAGGTGTTTCGGGCAGCAAAAGAGCGGGAATCATCAAGAGAGTTAGGCATAGACCTTGGCCAAAAGTAGACGCACACACGTGTATGAGCTGAGGGACCAGCCTCCAACGGACGGTCATATACCAGTTTGTAAGCCACATACCAAAGTCAAAGCCATGGCAAAGCGTCTGCAACCGGCATGTACAAGAGATAAGGTATAGCCAATCACGCAGTCAAGTCGAATCGCCATTGCTCTTCCGTTAGATCCTTTTAAAAATTACAATCGCTTTGACTGATATTGTATTTATTTTTAATATATTTAATTTTTCGTAATTTAATAACTTGAAATCAATTATATTAGTTATAGAAGATTAAAACCTTTATGTTTTCTGATTAGTCTGATAATAGTCAATCATAACTAATGTAAATATTGCCTATAACTTCAATATGCTTTAGCCATGGTAGAAGATATTTATATGGTTTACATGATGTTTGTGAATTTTCAAATAATTTACTATTTAAATACATTTGTTATAATTCTCAAAATTTCAATATGCCACAGCTATTGTAGAGTATATATTTATATGAGTTACAGACATAACTTTGGCTGCAGAAGAGGCTATTAAAGGGTTCAAGGCTACGCCTCGGCAATGCCAATCATTGGCAGCACAAAATGACGCCGCTTAATTTGTAATCTCAACTAGATGCTGGATGAGCACAGGCACATGATTCTTATTAAAGATTACAATAGAGAGAGCAAAAGAGAATAATTCTCGCAATCATCATTGGTCAGCTTGAATGGCTCCCATTTGATAAAGAGAGAGAGAGAGAGAGGCTCGACACCTGTGTGACAAGTAGTAACACTAGCCAGAGGCTAAGGCTAACTCAAGAGCGCGACTGAGTACCAGAGCCCAGAGAGTGTGGCCACCTTCCAGAGAGCACCCAACAATAGGTTTATCGTTTGTGTTCTCCAAGCGATCAGTTGAAGGTGGCGCTTCGCGCTGAACAGTACGTGCGTCCATCAAAGCTTTATTAGCGCTCGTCGTGCAGCCGCCGGTGAGCAGCTGGCAAAAGCGGTCAAGTTCAGCTCCTTTCCAGAACAAAATAATTAACTTTAAGCTCAACAAGCTTCAGTGAAAGACGCTTTCAATTCGGTTTTTCTGCCGGGCTAAAGAAAAACAAAAGTATTCAACGTAGCAAATTAAATTATAAATACTCAAGAACTTGTCACAGTGCCAATTATTATGCGCAGATAAAAGGTGTGCCTTAGTATCCACCGAAAATTATCAACAGAATATATTTCAAAGGTCGCGAAAAAAATAAAAAAATTGAATAAGCAAACGAACAACAAAAACGTGCTTATGTAAAGTTCTGGCTGTCTCGAAGCATTAGTAATTACTCTACCCGATCGCCAATCGATGCCCAGAGAATAACAAACAATTTACGCAGCAGCTTTCGGAAATCAGTAATATATTTCTAGGAATAATAAAAGGTAAATATTGCAGCTCATCAGATTGAGTGTCAACCGATTCAATTGAATTTGCGTGCGAAATATGACATTTTCTACCTCCAGCTTGAAGTCATGCTGTCTAAATATTACTGCATACACCCTACATGCGCTGGCCTTATCAGTTCTTTTATAAACAGCCAGGATTAGTTTTCTATGTGTAATGTGTCATTCGGACATAAATCGCAATTGGATACTGGATGTGTCTGTTCTTTAATAATAATAATAATTATTATTTCCAATTTCTTGAGCGTCCCCAACATCCATGCTACATCATCTATGTAAACACTATAACCGGTTTTTTATAACCCGTGCGCGAAATATAAATAACGAGAGTCACACACACCGAGCCAAGCACGAGTAATGGGCGCGACATGCCGGCATTAGAATGGTAGAACACGAATTTAGTAGTATACGTACATATATAAATATTTGATTGTGTTATTGATAAACAAAGTATCGCATATATATGTGATTGACTGTGTTACGCCTAGTAGACGATCAAAACAAATTTCAATCTAATTTCGCCAGCACTTACGTCATGAACTCTTTAAGGAGGCTATAAGTTGATTTATGCCTAAGTAGGGGCTTCTTATCACAAACATAGATTAGAAAACAAATATATAATTTTTGACCAAAAATTAGACAGTTTAAAGAGGCAAAACTCTTTCTAAAAAAGGCTATCTATTGATAATAAGAAAAATGTATGATTCTTAAATATCAAACATCAATTATTTCTAATAAAATTATATTGGTTTTTTTTCCACCCAAATAAGGAAACGTAAACATACAGTGTATAGTGTGTAGGGCATGCACGTTTCGGTTTCCCCTAAATTGCTATGCAAACTAGGGGAAAGGCAGAACTCAAAGAATTTCTATTCGCTTAATGATTGATGCTGTATTGAAACTGGTTTCCTATTAGCGAAACTGTCATTAGTTTCTCCAAAACACAATTATTATATATGTATGCATGCTTTTGCTTTTTGCTTACAGATGAGCGCCGCCGCTGCTTTAGAATTGGCCGTGGCCCATCGTAAGGAACAGGCTAACGTGGGCACCTTGCTGGGCCGGCGGTATGCGGAGCTGTTGCATGCCGAGAAACACACAGACTGTATGTTCCATGTGTGCGAGCAGCAGCTGAAGGGACACAAGCTGATATTAAGTGCTGCCAGCCCGGTCTTTGAGGCCATGTTCTATGGGCCGCTGCAGGAGCTGGAGTCGGAAATAGAGATACATGATATTAGTGCGCCAATCTTTAAAGTATTGCTGGAGTATATTTACACGGGCAGCGTGGACTATGAAAGCATGCAGCTGGAGGCCGCAATTGAGCTGTACTATGCCGCTGAGAAGTATCTGCTGGATCAGCTAATATCGGATGCACTGCTAGCCATAACTCGCAAATTGCGCTTCTCCAATGTCCTGCCAGCGCTGGAGCTAAGCGTGTGCATGGGCCTGGACAGTTTGCTAGATGTGTGTATGTCGTTCTTTATGCGCTGCTGCGTCAACAATGATCAGTACATAAGCTATCTGAAGAAGCACTATGTGCACGTGTCCAAAGAGTGCGTCAAGTCCATCATAGCCGCATGCAAGGAGCCGCACAAGCTGCTGATTTGGTATATCTACGAATGGAGCCAGCGGGAGTGCGATGATGCTGGCCTGGGTGATGCCACCACCACCTGGCAGATAACAGCGGCTCCAGCGGATACAATAGACTGTCCTGCTCCCATGCCTGCCACGCTCGTCGAACGCTGCTACTACAAGGCCTGCCGTCCGTTTACCGTCGACGCCGAGTCGCATTGTTGGAGGCTGGGGTTGAAGTGCTCGCGATTTATTTCAGTGCTGGGCTTGGTGCTCAACAGCCGCCTGGCGCCAAATCTTACATGCAACATTGGCCATGTGCCGCAAGAGTATCGCGAATCGTTACGCATTGATCTTTATCCAGATGGCGGGGAGCCCGTGTGGACGCACCTTATACAAAATCAGACAACAAAATACAATTGTGATTTGCATCTGAGCTGGAGCCGCGAACAGGCCTGCGTGCTGACGCCCGAGGTGCACTACGTGCTGCAACTGCGCTGGGAAAGCAGCGCCTACGGCGCCGAGTATCCATGCAGCTTGCAGTCCTGCCTGGCCGATGGCATTCAGTTCATCGACGGCGACAGCTTCAGCGGCTGCCTGCTGAAGGGACTGCGCTATGTGAACTTAGTTTAGATCCTATTGTTTAGGTAAATTAAATCGTAATCATTGTGTATTTATTGCTTTAAGTTAATGTACGAGCGTCAAAGTTCAATAAACTGTGAAACAAAAAACGATATTCATACCAAACAAATACCAAGCCGGTTTGTGTCTGGTCTGTTATCGCCAGCTGATGATTGTACAACCCGCGCACAATCTTATATTTTTTTAGGAAGTTACCAACTGGAAAACTGGCCTGTTCGATATCAGCAAACACAATAAAACAATAATTCAATTTGTAATATTCACAGTTGATGGCAGCTTTTCGTATTTGGGGAATTCATGAATCATATACACGCACATTACGCCAGCTTTTAAGTATACAGTTAAGATACAAAATGCTGATTAAAAGTAAATTAATTTCCTTTTTTTTTTAACGTAGATTTCTTTACTGTTTTTGTGTCTACTGGGTAAATGCGAACAATTTGTATCGCCATTCACACGTACAACATTAATTTATCGATTATTTGGTTGCACATCACTAGCATTACACCGCTTTTAGTTAAACAAAAGTAAACAAAATGACAATTTTGTACAAAGTTGAAAGCCGGCGTGAATTTGGTAATGGCAAGGACAGCAGCGTCTTCCCGCACAAGGTCGTGCTGTGCGCCGTATCCGCACGCAACATAATTGCATTCAGCGCACTCCAGAGCCTCTCCAGTCACGTCTATGTGTGCGACATTGTGACACCCTGGCAGTACTACAAGGTGTGCACCTCAAAATCGCTGATCAATGTTTTGGAGTGGAGTGCCAGCGGTGAGCAGCTGCTGCTGGGCTACATTGGCGGCCGTGTGGAAATCTGGCAACCTAAGGAGCAGGCGCTTAACGTCTGGCAGCTGCATTACCATGCCAACATACCCAGCGAGGACATCATCCAAGCGAAGTTCTTTCACAACGGCAAAGGCGTCGTCTTCAATACACAGAAAAAGGATCATACCTACTATGCCGAGAAATTTGAGAGACTCGAGCAGCGACCCACGTTAACCGGCTTTGGCGGCGTTGCCACCGAAGGTTGTATACTGCTTAGCTCCTCCGGCCTGTTGGCCGCCTTCACGCTGCCCCAGCTGCAGAAGCTGGCGCCCAACAGCAACAGCGGTGTTGTACCAGAGCCGCCGCTCAGCAGCGTTAGTAACGAACAAATCGAGCTGACGCCTGCCACGCACAGCATTGGCATTTCGCGCAGCTACATCGAGCACAGCAGCATTGTTCCCAGCGCTAGCGGATCTCTCAACATAGCCTACAGCATTGGCTGGCAGCAGCATCAGCAGCTGGTTCACTGCTTTAAGGTTGGCATTTTCCATTTAATCCTTAGTCTTCCGAATATAACGGTTCCATCTTGTATTTTTCCTAGGTCTCATTGCAGCTGGAGGGTGAACGCATTGCTATCAAGTCCGAGTCGCTGGCCAGCATATTTTTGAACACCACGCCCTCGCCGATGGAGAGCAGACGCATCACACAGCTGCTATGGACGCGCGTGGCCAACGAGGATGTCATATACGTGGTCTTTGGGTGTGCCGATAGCGCCAGTTTGCTGGAGCAATGGACGTTGACGCGACGCCATCAGAATGTGCACGCGCTGCTCCAGCAGTCGTCAGCCGTGCCAGCTAACAACAGCAAACCCGTTGACTATGTACCAAGCGAAAGCTGGGAGCAGGTGGCCAAGCTGCAATTGAATGCACAAATCTCGCAACTTTGCAGCTCGCGTCTCATCGCCGCAGACTGTGAACAGCTGTATGCCATACTCCAAGATAATAGCGTGCAGGTGCTGGAGCCGGGCACGTTGAAGCAGCTGAATCACACGCAGTTTGAACGCGATGCGGAGACGAGATTCGTGTGCGCCGACCTTACGCCCACCAGCCAGATGCTGCTCATCTTCGACAGCCACGCCCAGCTGCATGCAATGCAAACGCCCATGCTGAAGCAAAATGCGAGCACCATGCAGCTGCTGCTGCTGCTGCTCGAGTACTGCATTGTCACCGGAGTGGACGCTAGCGATGTGCTGCTGCTTAATCTGGGTAACCTGGAGGCGCTGGTGGAGAAGCTGACGGACAATTTTACACGACAGCCATCATATGTGCGTCAGTTCTACTATGCCAACTTTTTGGCGCTGAAAAGCAATCTGTGCCGTGCGCAGCAGCAGGAATTCGATAATCTCATCATATTGCACGCCATCTCGAGCACATTTAAGAGCCTACTGCGTCCCTCGGACTTGGGCTGTCAGGACAAGGGGCCGGCAGATAATTTGGCCATGAAATTGGCCGAATCGGTGCCGGACGTGGACACGGTGTTGCTCAATCTAGATCCCAAGGACTTTACCGTGGAACCCATGATGCTGCAGAGCCTGCAACAGTTGATCCAATGGGTCACTGACCTGGCACTCAACATGCTCAATCGCCTGCCCGAGGAGGTCATGAAGAGCAAGCTTTCCGGCAAGCGTGCCAGCTACGACATCAGTCGCGACATTGTAGCCATTGGCAGTCTGCGCGAGTTGCTCGTCATGATTCGCATTTGGGGACTACTCAATCCGCAGTGCCTGCCTGTGTATACCAAGACCATGGACAATATCGATGTGCTGGCCATACTGTTCAGGCTGCTCACGCGGCTGGCACAAAATGCCGCGGAGCCGGACGAGCTGCTGCTGGATGAGTGCAGTCTGCTGTCCAAGCAGCTGCTCATACCACAGCCGTCCAAATACAATCCGACAACACTGCTGAGCGCCCAGGGCTATGCGGCTGTCAAATCTGGACAGCTAACGTTCACCTCGCTGGTGGAGCCAGTCGGACTGCAGGACATTGAAATGGAGCAGGTCGTCTTTGCCAATTGCGTCAAGGATGGCGTCAGTAATCTCCAACTGGGCGCCAATCCCAGCACCATAAGACGCTGTGCCCGCTGCGGTTTCGTCAACAGCGCCAACAAAGTGGCCAAAACGTCCGCACTGAAAGCCTGGTGCAACAAGTGGTTGCATTGCCACTGTGGCGGCTTTTGGAAGCAAATTAATTAGTATTAAAAGTAGAATTAAAGAGCTCTAGTATTTAAATTAATAAAAACATAAAATAAGGGTTAAATAGATTTTTCTAAATAGATGTACATAAACACTGAAAACTCCCAATCTCAGACAACTAATCCCGCGGTGCTTTTGCCCGGTTATGGGAAATCTTAAAAAAATGTAATTAATTATTATTCACCCATATAGCCATTGCAATTAAACTAATGAATAATTTTAGTGGAGTTTATAAATTTATTTATGGCTTATTAACAAATATAAATTGCTGAACAATTATAATATGTATGTGAGTGATCATAAACATAAATGTAAGTAGGTATTATTTCAATAATTTTATGCTACGGAAATTTTGTTTTGATTATTAATTTGATTCTTTTTCAGCGATAATTGTGACTGACAATTGCTAAAAGTTATCGCTGATATCAATTACAATACTATCGATAGTTGTACATTCGGAGAGAATTAGCAATACAATCGATAGTTGGACGTACTTCGCCATCGATTGCTTGGCATCTCTGCTTCTTATTAGACTATTGATAAATACAAACAAGAATTGGCTTGCAAAAAATCTAATTTGAATTAATTAACTCCACCTGAAAATGAACATAAACTTGCCCAATTTTAATATGAAGAACCTGGTCAAGGAGGCGGGTAGCACAATATCACGAGTGGTCCAGGTAAGTCATGACTTATTCAATAGCTAACCACAATTGTGGTTGGGGCCTGACTGTGGGTGTGGATGTGGGTGGCGTTTTGGGCCTTGCGCACGCGATTGACTTTTTACGTTTACCCTTGCCCTTTTCCAGCTAACGGAGGAGAAATTGGGCACCACCGAGCGCACCGAGTATGATATACACTTTCAAAATCTAGCAGAACGCGCCGACGTGACCAAAACATGGACAGAGAAGTTGGTGCGCGACACCGAATCGGTGCTTATACCGAATCCACAGAATCGCGTCGAGGATTATATATTCGAAAAGATTGAGAAATCGAAACCGAAACGGCTCAGCAACTTGGAGCATCTGGCGCTAGACATGATTGAGGCGGGCGGCGACTTTGGCCAGGACATGCCCTACGGCCAGGCACTAATCAAAGTGGGCCAGGCCGAGCAAAAGTTGGGACAGTGCGAGCACGACTTCATTGCCACCTCAGGCATATGCTTTACGCAACCGTTGCGTAAATTTCTAGAAGGTGAAATGAAGACCATCAGCAAGGAGCGCGGCATACTGGAGACGAAGCGGTGAGTATGACGCCACACAAAGATTATGATAGATATATGATAAATGTGTGTGTCTGTGGCTTGCAGCTTGGACTTGGATGCGTGCAAGAATCGCGTGAAGAAGGCCCGCAGCATGCTGGGTCAACAGGCGGTGAGTGTGGGTCGGCATGAAAATTGTCGCATTAAGCTCATTATAGATTTTCGCCTCTGCTTTTACACTTTTGTGCTGCTTTTCCTCTATGTGGATGTGTTTTGTGTAATTTATAGAAAGATGGCATTTCGCCAGAAGCTGCCTTGGAACAGGTATCGCCCAAAGAGGCGCCTATTCAATGCTCTATTTTAAACGCTTTACAAAATATATATTTATTTTCTTTTACTAACAATTAATTTGTTCCTATACAGGCGGAGCGCGACCTGCGCGTGGCTCAGGCCGAATTCGATCGTCAATCGGAGATCACCAAGCTGCTGTTGGATGGCATCAGCACATCGCAGGCATCGCACTTGCGCCATCTGCACGCCTTCATCCAGACCCAGGTGCGCTACTACAAACAGTGCGGCGATGTCATGGATCAACTGCAGCGCGAGCTGGCCAAGTAAGTAGTAACAGCTATGAGAGCCCTGCATCGGTTAACTTAAATTGTATCATTTGCTCGAATTAACGATTCATCACTCATTCAAGACGAAGACAATCATTCAAACAAAGTTTGAACTTTTACGAGTCAGCCAACATGTTCGATCTAATCGGTAATAATATTATTGGCTGCAAATCAAACAGCTCGAACCGAATAAATTTTAGTCTTGACTCGAAATAATTGTTTGAGCATCCGGAACGCGTCTCGATTGACTCGATGCAGGGCTCTACTATGGATATAAGCTGATCCTTTTAGATTTGTTTTCTTTACATATATGTATTAGTTATTATATGCAATTTGAGTACTTGAGTAGGTGGCACTTAACAATTCTTGCACTGTGGTTGGCATTGTGTCTACATGTGTGTGACCTTTTGGTTGTTGTTGACCTTTCGGTTTGTATTGTTTTGTGGTCTTACAGAATGCAGCCAGCGAAGCCACGCCTGCGCATCAATAGCGAAGATGTCGACGGGCCTCCCAGCATAGCTTCGGCTCATTCCTGTGATTCAGATACCAATTCCACTCCATTAGCACTAGCACTAGATAGCGATTACGATTATGACAATGATAATGATATTGAGGGCTATAAGACCATTGACATCGGTCCGGTCAAGACGCTCACGCATCTGCTGGAGGACTTTGAGATAGAGTTCGATACAAGCGCAATAACAACAGTTTAATTAACGCCTTGAATCGAAATTGAAACGAGCTTTGGTTAACATTTGTATACGAATACTAGGCATAACTTAAATATTGGTTGTCATTAATCAAATAGTCGTTAAATCGTAGAGTCGTTTGCTTCTGTTTTTGGTCAAAACGGTTTCAGTAGTAGCACCTATTCAATTCAAACTCAACACCCACAAACTCACCCACAATCAAGTCATTTAAACTCTCTGCCTCTGCGTCTTCCATCAGCTTGGGAGGCCCAACACCCTACACACCGATCGATTTGCATGATGCCGCCAAGTCCAGTGCCGCCGGCGGCATGGGCGGTGGAGCACGTAATCCTGGCAACAACAACAGCAGCAGTGCCGGCCACAAAGCTAATCAGTCCATGCAATTGAATGTGAGCTCGGATCAAATGCAGCGCGCGCGTGTCCTGTGCTCCTATGATGCCAAGGATCACACAGAATTGAATCTAAGCGCAAACGAGGTGAGCAGTTTAAATTATTCATAGTTTACCCATCTAACTCCTTTCGATCTCGGAACTTGCAGGTCATCTTTGTCGCCGAATGCTCACCTGTAAATGAGGACTACATGTACGGTAAGCAGGGTCTGATGAAGGGCCTGGTGCCGCGCGCCTTTGTCGAAATGCTCGATGAGGAACATGAGGTAACTCTCTAAGTGGATGGTCTTAAATGCCAGCAACCAAAATGAAAAGACAAAACCCATAATCAAGAGAACAATCATGATACACAAAAAAAACTAAAAACAAATACTCATAAACATTTAGAGCAAATGCAATTGGACAATTACTACATACTTAGTTCATACATAATACATATGCAAATTATGCAAGAGAGTACAATAATTTATCAGAATATACATATAAAGTATACAACATATATACACATACATATTATATTAGAAAGAAAGGGCATTGCGCCCTAGCTTAGTCCATGTCGTTTGATCAGTGTGCCTCATGTAACCCACAAAATGCATTCCAATCACCCAGCATTTAGATATACATAGCTAAATGATCTATCCTTGTTACTTGCTCAGCTTTTAAACAGAACAAAAAAAAAAAACAAAATATTTAAATAACTATATATTTATCAATACTTATTCGGATATAAAGAATCTCCTCCTTAATATGAAATTAAATGCAATTGTTTTTTAAAATTCCTAAGAACTCTATTATCAAAATCTATAAAAGAAAAACATTTACTATTTTTCAACTTATATTTATATAGTGCAAAAAATTCCAAACATTTTCTATTGTTGTTAAACTAAAGAAGCCGTTATTATTAAGCTTCTCAATCTCACATTGAACAAAGTATTATATTTTGTGTTATTTTGCTAGTTATTTATTCGTTAGTTAAATTTAAATTGTGCTTTAAATATACATTCATGAGATTGTTAATACTACTATTCAAAAGAAAATAATTTATTTAAGGTTAAATATACTTACCTTTACTGTTTTCTTTGCCTGCCTTTGTTAAATTTTGGTGCAATTTTTCCCCCAAAGTCAATTAAATGTTGCTATTTAAAGTTTAAGATATGCCCAAAAAAAAAAAAACACCAAGCCAAGCCAGACTTAGCGCTAAATCAAAGTAACAAAAGAGATAACAAAATTGAAATTAACGTAATTACTAAACGTACAATACCATAAAAAAAAGAATAGAAAAGTAAACAACGATTTTAGGTTTTCAACATTGAAATGCGTCTAGAGATGGTTTTAAAAAACAAGCAAGCACACCATAATTTACTATGTGAAACAAATGTATTAAAATATAAATATATAAATAATAAAGAATGTTAACAATATGCAACCAACAATTGGTTTTGTGTTTCATAACGAGATTAATATATTTTTCGTAGTGATATATTGTTGATATATTATAATAATTATCATGTTTGGCGAAATTTAATGTAATACAAATTTACAGTAAATGGATATACTAGAAGTATCCCCAATATCTGAAAATATTGGTTAAGTGTTAGCATATAATATTAATTTTGTTAAACTGTTTATAAACTATCCCAATAATCCTCGATATCTGAATAATCCATATCTTCTAAATCGTAACCAAATTCGTCAAACCCATCCAATTCATCAAAATCCCCGTCGTAATCATCGTAATCATCGGAAAAATCGAAGTCATCGTCATCATCGCTTAGGAAACCCATATCATACAAACGATGATCATGTTCTGTGTTTAGCTCGTCTGAACCAAAGTACATATCATCGTCGAATACCAACAGATCGGATAGATCAAAGAAGCAAAGATCAGATGATGAGGGTGGAACAAAGGATGCATCAATTATGTCCTTGGAAACCACGTCTGGATTTTGCATGTTCACCTCGTTAATGTTGCATCCGTATAAACTAAGCTTGATTGGTAGCTGACGCTGGATTTCTTTTTGGCGAATTTGTAAGCGCATTTTAAAAATAATATCGGATAGTAGCTTTACTGTGAGCTGCGGGCAATTTTCTAAATGCAACACCCTAAGCTTAGGGCAGGAAAGTATCAAGCGCAGCACAGTATTGTTGTTAACATTGCAACAATACTTAAGATTGATCTCCTCCAGCTCATGCAGACTGCTCAAAGCCTCCATTTCGCGATCTTTAATCGCATCGTTGTTGGGTACAATGAGCGTGCGCAGTGCGCGTAGTTTGCTTATTTGTGAAACCATCTCCGAATTGATGCAGTTCTGACCGCGTGTTTCAAAGTGTACCAGTTGCTCGGACCTGTGTTCCACCAGCCACGTGAGCAGGTCGGGGCGTAGTTTTGCATTCTCCTCATGACTGTGGATAGTCAGCTTCTTGAGGCTGGGCAGCTTAGCAATGTGCTCGTATTGATTAGTCAGTCCAAAGCAGAGTCCATTGCTAACTGAGATAGTTTCCAGCGTATTGGAGCGCTGACTGTTGACCAGCTGCTTAAAGCCCGAGCCAATGGTATAGACACCCTTTATGTGCAGCTCCTTGAGCTGTTTAAGTGCCTTAAAAACCCGGGGCAATAGTTTCGACTGCAGTCCAGTGCAACTGGTCAGTGTCAGCGACTCAATGCTTGTCGGCAAGCGATTCATATTTTGCCCAGTCAACTTGTCATTGTTAGACAGATCGAGTATCTTGAGCTGTGACAAATGCTTTAGTGCAAGCAGAGCATCATTACGCAAGTCGCAACCGCGCAATTGCAGGCTCTCCAGCTGGGTCAGCTTGCCAAAGATCTTGTACATAGTGCGAATGGTCAACTTATTGGCCGTAATTCGCATAGTAGTTAGATTTGTGCAGTGGGCGCCCAGAAATTCGCCCAGACGCTGGCGATGGCGCTGTGGTATAATGCCCTCAATCTTCCGAACATGACGACCGGACAGCACAAAGAAATCACGCACATCCCACATAGTCATGTCTGCAAATTCTTCAAATTTCACGCATTTATCTAAGGCTGGTGACGCCTGCTTATAGATCTCTCGAAAACGGATGCAGGTGCGCGCAAAGTGAATGCGATCGGGCAGTGCCAGTAGTCGCACTATATAATCCAAGCAATGATCATTCAGATTTAGAATGGCAGCCGGCGGCTCGTTGGGATCGGACGATAACTGCTTCCGTGGTATGCCATTGGCGTCTGGCTGATGCCAGCTATCGCTGGGCTGCACGGATAGACGTTCTTTGTTCACATTGTGAAATTTGCGACGCAGTGCTCTGCAAGGCACAACGTTTATTTTAGATGTGTGTAGCATAATTGATTCACTTACTTGGCAGCACTACGCGGATCTGCGAAGACGACAAAGCCACTCTTTGTTTTTGGCCTATCATTTGAGGCCTTGGAGGCGAAATGGTTGGTGGCCTTCCCAAAGAGATGCAAGTGCTCAACGCGTCCGAAGGTATTGAAATAGGCTCTCAATTGCTTGGGCGATAGCTAATACAGGAAATTTCGGTTATCTTGAATATTCAAAGAATATGAATTTATTGCCAATCGCTTACCCCTGGTGCTATTTTATACAAAAAAAGTTTCTTCACCAATATGTTGTCCTCGGTGTAGACTTCATCGCCCTGAAAATAATAGGTTTTGTGCGTCGGCAGACAATCGTTGACCCTTCTATAAGCACGTGAGCCACGTATATTTAAAAAATTTTGAATAGCGCTCATTTTTTCTGCTTTAAATTCTACTACGACAATTGAAGCACAGCTACTTATACTGTAGAATTTCCTGATACGATGGAGGGCCCCCACAGCATATGCGCTCTGCCTTTTGTTGATTCTTGCAGTTGCACGAAATTGTTCTTGATACGTCTGTCGGATAGAGTTAAACGATACTTAGGTTATCGGGTACTTGTTATCGCTCATCTCTAGCTTTCGGACCTATGTACTTATATCGATAGCGGATGAAAATATATATTTACATTTTTGATTTCCCGGCAAGCTGTTAATTTATAAACAGCTCTATAATTACGTTTACTCGCGCACTAATCGAAACCATTAAATACAACGGTCAAATTTTGTACTCACCTATGAAAAGCTGCAAGTGTATGTAATCACAGTCACCTATCGATAATTCAAATTATAAATAAAACAGCGTCCAAATGTTTTCTCACTCGCACTTTAATTTCGGAAATTATAACGTTTTTTTTTTAAATATTTTTTAGCAAAGCTTAACAAAATATTTCCATATTTGATATTTGCTGTGTTTCTTGTAGAAAACCTAACAAAATTTCTTCTATATTTACATAATGTACACAATTTATGACTTAAATTCACTAGTTTCAATATACAGTTGTTCTACTAAAAGTCTTCGATTCTTAAGTCAGAAAATTAACAAACAGCATACAAAATATGTTACGCATCTATATACAAAAAACGCTGCCAGCAGCGTTTGCAAATATAATACAAAAGAAAATTAATTAAGTTTAATAAATAGAAAGTTACACTTCAAGTGTGTTGTCTAGTTTTGATTGCTAGAATTTCGCCGATTGTCACGATAGTATCCAAGAGTGTATAATACCTATGAATAGAATGCCATAATAATTATGAGAATTAAGTAAAATAATAAAAATTCTTACGATTTTCGCCGGGTGAAAGCGTTATATGTATGTCCTCACGATTAAGAATCGGCGCTGCAATAAAACAATTGTAATAAGTATATATTTAAATTGATTATTATTATTAACAACAACAACAACAAGGAATTGTGTAAATATTTAAATAACTTCTTTATTTATGCAAGCTGCTTAAAATAATAATAAACTTTGTTTGCTTAGTAATACAGGCGCTATCAATAAAACAGATAATGAGGCATATGCATTGACATAAATATTAATTAAACATTAACTATATGTGAATATATAGGTTAAATAGGTTAATGTAACTTTTAATTATTTCCATTTATCTGTTTCGTATATGTTTTCGTTTTATATTTTTTTGTTTTATTCAGATTTGTCGTGCTTTTGAAACGAGCAATTATTTCGGTTCGTAATTTAGTGCATTTATTTATATGTATATACTTATAGAGGCTGCATGCGTGCCTTGACTTTTTCAATTAATTTGCTTAACTGGAAACTAATTTAAATATGCTATCACAGTTTCAAAGTTGCCAACATGCAGACAACGTGCGCAAGCCAATGCATGTTAGAGAAACTTTGGGTTGTATATATATGTGTATATATAGAACATAGCTTGGGTCCTTGATAATTAGTACACTTATCAATGATAACAAACAGGCAAGCCAGCGATCGATTAATTGATCGTGCGTTCTATTTTATCAGTCGATCAATCAATCACGTGTGCAAAGCGTATGGCTGCTGCCGATTGGCATCGGTCTCTAGGCCAGCGCCGGCTGTATTTGTTGTTGTCGGCGTGGCCGTGGCATTATCAGCGCTGCTGCTATGCACAATGCGTATCATACCCGGCTGGATCCTAACATTTTCACAGGCTTCGCAAATATTCAATTGCGGATGGTTGCGGAATGTACACAAGTTGCAGGCCCACATATCCAGTGGCTCCTCGCCTTCGTCCACCTCCGATTCGGACAGGGACTCCTCCTCTTCCTCCTGATTGATATGACTGACACGTGGCTGCTGAACTGCTGCTGATGCTGTCGCTGCCGCCGTTGCAGCTGCTCGCTGCTGCTGCAGAAACTGCTGAAACTGACAGTATTGTGCATAGGTGGGCGGCGGCTGCAGCTCCAGCTGCAGTTGCTGCTGCTGTTGCGGCGTCAGGCAGGCTGAGCTGGGCGCACTACTGTGATGTTGCACAAAATCTAGATGAGACTGTGTCGGCGCTGCGGGCACCGAATGCAGTCGCAGCGAATTGGGCGGTGCCTGAGTGCGACTGCTTCCAGGTACAGCGCGATGTCGTGGAAATGGCTGCTGTTGTGGCCCGGCAGGCGCCGATAGCTGACGATTCATGGAATTGGATGCGGCTGCAGTGCCATTCAGCTGGGGATCTGCAATGACAGAGATTAATGTTTAAATCAATTTCAGTTAAATACAAATAAATGCTTACCATTGATCATATTGAGCAGCCGCTGACAGTCCTCAGTTAGTTTTTTGATATCTCTATCCAGTCTTTCGGATTCGCCCACCGGCACCGGTTCGGTCAGTATGTTGATCTCCTGCTCCAGGCTAAGCAGACGCTTCTTGTTGTCACGCAGCGCATTCGCCAGCTTGTCGCGTCGCGTCTTTTGCCGCTCAATGGTCGCCGCATGCGCTGCAAGCAGAGTTGGACAAAAATATCGAACCGTTAACGCATTGTATATTTACTTAACTTAAATATATTTATGCATATATATATATATACATATATATGTAGATGAGGTGTGTGTGTGCGTTTCGGTCTT